ATTAATTGGTTTCATTGTGCATTTATGCACGAGCAATTTAAGTTACATCGAGCTTGTTTTTTTTCGAGACACAGATTATAAATTGTTTCGTATTTTAACGCTTGCAATTTTCTGAATGGTCGAAACAGTCTATTTTTGAGCTCAGCGATGGCTCGGGGCCCGCTTCGTCCGTCAAAAGCGGATCTGGACGACGGAGAGCTTGTTAAGCGTGTACAGGGTTAATAACTCTCTTCGAGTACGAGTACACACGCGGTGCTCGACGGAATTACTTAGATAATCGTTCGGCGATTCGGATCTCCGGGAGCGTTAATTACGCGAACGCTCGGACGGCAGGAATGCCACCTGCTCCGGGGTATGAGCAAACGATGGTAAAGGAAAAAAAAATTGTATAAACCTCTGGTGTCACGAAGGCAACGTGTATCCTTATATGTATAGGAAGAAACGCCGCGGATCTTGATATATTGCTCGATGCTATCGGGGCACGACTCCCGGGGCACGATTTAAATACGGCGACTCTGTCATCGCGTTTAAAAGGATCTCGCGACGTGTCAATCCGTAGAAACGACCGTAATCCTCGAATAATCGCCATTTATCGCGGGCACAACAAAGAATAACGGAGCAACATACGACAAATACTCAAATTATTCCTTCATCGCGAATCAAACTTTAGCCTTCAACAATGATGCATCAAGTATCATTTTTACGAAATTTAAATAATATTTACTGTCAGTTGGTTATCGAGGGAATTTCTTTGGCGTTTCAATAATGGACGCGTGCAGAGTATGTTTTTTTCGCCATTTCTCGCAGGCTGGACAAAAATAAACGGAGCAACATACGACAAATACCCAAATTATTCCATCATCGCGAATCAAACTTTAACCTTCAATAATGATGCATCAAGTATCATTTTTACGAAATTTAAATAAAATTTACAGTCAGTTGGTTATCGAGGGAATTTCTTTAGCGTTTCAATAATGGACGCGTGCAGAGTATGTTTTTTTCGCCATTTATCGCGGGCTGGACAAAGAATAACGAAGCAACATACGACAAATACCAAAATTATTCCTTCATCGCGAATCAAACTTTAGCCTTCAACAATGATGCATCAAGTATCATTTTTACGAAATTTAAATAAAATTTACAGTCAGTTGGTTATCGAGGGAATTTCTTTAGCGTTTCAATAATGGACGCGTGCAGAGTATGTTTTTTCCGCCATTTATCGCGGGCTGAACAAAGAATAACGGAGCAACATACGACAAATACCCAAATTATTCCTTCATCGCGAATCAAACTTTAGCCTTCAACAATGATGCATCAAGTATCATTTTTACGAAATTTAAATAAAATTTACAGTCAGTTGGTTATCGAGGGAATTTCTTTGGCGTTTCAACAATGGACGCGTGCAGAGTATGTTTTTTTTCGCCATTTCTCGCAGGCTGGACAAAAATAAACGGAGCAACATACGACAAATACCCAAATTATTCCTTCATCACGAATCAAATTTTAGCCTTCAATAATGATGCATCAAGTATCATTTTTACGAAATTTAAATAAAATTTACAGTCAGTTGGTTATCGAGGGAATTTCTTTGGCGTTTCAACAATGGACGCGTGCAGAGTTTGTTTTTTTTGAAAAAAGGTTGCGAATGCAGCCATATCGAAGCGGTAGCGACAAAGGCAGCGTGCCTTATCGTTCGATTTCCACGTAACCGAAGTCCACTTGTTTTCACGAGCTCGAGTACGCATGCGTGAACGCGCGCGGAATGTAAGCGACGATCGAATCACTCGTAAACACGAAGAAATAGCGGAACGCGATATGCAAATCGCCGTGGCTGGCGTGGGCGTAGCTTGAGCAACGTGCAAAAAGCCCCTCGTTCGCGATAAAATATACGCCTCAAAGGCATCGGTGTCCCCGTTAATAATTGTTTAAACCCGTGGACGAGAGACGAATTCGTGCTGCGCCATCCGCGGATCGCAAATTGAAAATTCGTGTACCGCGCGATAACGAAGAATGTTTTTTAACGGACGGAATCTGTTTTGCACTTTTCGACGTGTCCCGCGTTGAAGTAGAACATAAAATATATATATTTAAATATGCAAAAGGCTTATCTCAACGATCGTCTAAAGGTTTTATAGTTTGCGATTGGATCGATTGAAAGATGGAAGTTTGCCTTCTGCAAAAAATTCGTGACATAAGATTATGGCCCCCTCGAGACCAAGAGTGGCCTGAAGCACTTATGTTTGTCACCGAAAGTAAATGGCTTATTCAGGTAGTCTGTCTCGAGTACCACATCCTGTATACGAGGCTAATATATCATGATATATCGAGGCTGCTATGTTCGAGCAGATAGTACTGTTTAATCAGGCAAAATACAAACAAATAAATTTCAACGCTCAATCTACCGATAACTCCAATGATTTTTTGTCTGCGTTAAAATAAGACAGTGTTCGTTGATTGGTGGAGCAGCTATTAATCGTTGCTGACGCCATATTGGAGAATAATTCACTCAGTAGGGACAAAGTTCGTCTCGCTAAGACGAATCTACCAGAACATTAAAACAATTATTTCTATTGTGATATACTACTAGTTATTTAACAAATTAATACATATATGTATCTCAAGATTCTTACTACTGTTTTTGTATCAAAATATCAGTCAAAATTGATGATTTTTCAAAGGATATCGGATTTATGATTTAAAGAAACGTATTTCTTAATTATCTCTTCTCAGAAATAAGTTTTCAAGGAGTCTGATGAATTTGAAAATTGGATCGATTTAATAGTGCACATAATAGGATACGATTGCTCTATTTCCGCGTAATATCGGCGCGTCAAAGTCCATCGTTATCGTACTTTTATCGTGGATTTGCAGCGCCTGCGACCCCAACTATCCAGCCAGGTTATTGACATCGCGTCGTGCGCCACGTGAATCGTAGCTGGTACAGCTTGCATGGAATAATTATTCTCAATAACCTATATATTGTCGCAATTTATACGTGGACGTTACGTTAATGAACGCATCGTCTACGTAACGACAATCGATGGTTAACGAGAGAACGCCCAATAACGAGGTAAACCCGATAACTTCTGGCAATTAAATCGATTGTGGGACCGATTGGCCCCGTTTCCGTGTCAAATTCGTTGCAAACGACCGATAAACCTTTAAGTACCGCGGATCAGGAGCTTCTTAAGCCCTTGATCGCGTTCAAATTCGATGGAACCGCAATTTTTAAAAGATAGAGTGAAGGGATTTCCTGCCACTCGAAACTGTTTCGCTTAAAATACAAATAAAAGGAAACCAACGTACCATTAACATGATGAAACACATCAATTTGTTATGAAACGATAAAAAAAGCTTAATTATCGAATATAGAGAAAGTAGAAAGCAAACAGTTACCATGTAAGGGTTAATTGCTGTATGTAGAACATGATCTACGCAACGTTGGTTACGTAGAATGGCTATATTTGCAGATGCACTGGGTAGAAAGGAAGGGTAATTCTTGTATTGTTTTTGTTAATTTTGTATAGACGGTGTGTGATTTTTGTTTTGATGCGCTGTCGTAGATACTTCGTGGCAACCTCCGTGTGACCCACGCTTTTCTGCCATTGTCCTTCGATAAAAATTTACATCGATCCAATGACAAGTCGAAGTAGAAAGTCACCTACGCGTAGACGAACTGAATTTCCAATTCCACGAGCGCGCCCGTGGCGACCAGTTGGGCACAATTAGTTCGACAATCCCACAATGGGACGTTCGGTATTGTGTCCAGCGATCTTTGTTCGTCGATGTACAATGCAAAGAAGCACCAATCTCGATTCAGATTTGTAAAAATAAAAATCTGGTCCCTTTACCGATTTGGTAAAAAAAAGTATGAAACAGCGATTGTACACGGAATCCACGCGAATCTGGAATTTTCATTCTCGAAAGAAGTCGAGGAAACTACGTCCAAGAGTAGCGAAGAGGAACGACAAGCCAAGAAAAGGTACACTAATAAACTTGAAAACGGGACGTCGTAAACGATGTTACGATCTATCTCAAAGAAACCCGGCGCAAGTAAATCGTCCATGAAACTTCGTCCCCGACTGTGACGCAAACAAAAGCCGCGCCAATAGATCCGAACAAGTGGAACACCAGTAAACGTAAAAACGTAACATCGTAAACGCTGTTAGAATCTAGTCCCGGGGAACACACGACGCCAATAAATCCGAGGGATCGAGCGAAACTCTTCGATCGCTTATGAAAGTGCTGCAATTTCTTTTTACTGTTGTCCTTTCTGTTACAGGAAAGCTGTTGCAAATTGCAGATAATTTGAAAGCTGGAAGAGAAATTTCAACACAGTTACAATTAATGAACAGTTCATTGATTTAGAATTTTGGGAAAATTGAGATGTTTATAACAGTGTTCATTTGTATCGTGTTAGTCTGTTGCAAAGAAGCACAAAGTAGGCAAATTGTAACAGAAACACTATTCCAATGAGAGCTATTAAAACCTGGATGGCTGCCAAACGAGAATAACAGAGGAAAGAGAAAAACGGAAGTATCGTAAACAATGTTAAAATGTGTTCCCAAATGCCTAGATTCGATCAAACTTTCGAAGAAATCCTGACTTGACAGTGTTGAATAACAAAGATTAATAAAGCTTCTCAAAGACGAAAGAGAGCAGTAAATAAGGAAATATCCCAAACAATGTTAAAATTGATCTCTAAAACTGCTGATGTAATTAAATTCCTGAGGAAATCCTGTTTTGACATCGTTTCGAATAAATGTGTCTCGACAGACACCGACAAACGAGATGTGGTAAACAGTGGTTGATTGGTCGCATACCGAGCGTATATCGATCTAGAATTTCCATTTCCACGGCAGTACCGGTTTTCGGTGGTACAATGTCACGATCCGTCTCACAGTGGGACAGCGCAGCGACCGGTTTTCGCGCGCGTCGATCGGCGAATGGAACCCGAACCCGAACCGAAGCCGGGTCGGAAGAAAGGAAAACGAACTCACCGGAGTGGTCAATCGTCGGCATCCTTGGCCGGTGTCAACGTCGTCATCGTGGATCGTCGATCCGTACCGGCACCCGTTGATCACCGTAAACCCGTGCTGGGACGAGCTGGACAAAATATCGATCCTTTTCGCGCACGATCGCCGCGGAGATCGGGACAAATCCACGCGCTGGTCCCCGCGCAGACTCGAAGAGGTGACTGGGAGATTCTGAGGACCGACGGTTCTGGTTCACGACTGGTTCTTCTCCTTCTCCTTCGGCCTCTGGCCCCTTCCATGCTGGCTGCAAACACCGTGGAAAAAGAGACGAATGTAGCTTACGAGCGTGCGACGGAGCGAGCAGGGGAAACACGGTCGTTCGAAATAGAAGAAGAGGAGAGTCGAGGATGCTGGAGAGATCCAACGACGCCAGGGAACGACAGGTTGCTCCTTGTAAAGAACCATTCCGTGGGACGGGGTGAAACCGTGGGGCCCCACACGGGTGAAAAGAAGTCGATCGGGTAAGGGTCAGGGACGCATTCGCGAGTTTCGGACTCGCCAGATGGCCGGGACACGATCCCGCCGGGTTTTCGTTGCAGGCACGGACCTGGGGATATTCTCGAATTCATTTTTCATCGAAATCACGGCAAAAGATTCGCTGAAAAATGAATCTCTTAACGACTCTCGGACCAAATCTGTGAAACTTGGCACTGGATCGACATTTTATTTTCAGGATGATACTTAATTTACAATTTCTTGTAGTATTTATTTTTGTAGAAAGTTCATCACTCAACACATCATTTTTTTAGCTCCTGAGTGAAGAGTCCCATCATCCACATATGACTAACGTAACGACCAACGTGTTAATCAATTTGACAAATTGTTTTCCTCAATATATACAGTATACTGTAACATACAATTTTTTTAATTTCCAGAAGTGTTAAAATATTCTCTCGAGTCGACCCTTTGTTACTTGGTGCACACAAAAATGGGAGCAAATATTTCCTGAGTAACGTGTAAAGAATTTAATGTTGAAAGATACGTGTATATGTTACACCTCTGATTAACTTCAGCAATATCGTTGATAGATTCTTGCACAATCATATTTAATGTATCCGGAGTACACGGAATATTTATCGTGATTCAATCTGTTTAATTGCAGCTTCCATATTTGCAGTTTCCATCATAATATTGGGTAACGTTCGAATATTGCTTTCAAGAAATTCGATGCGTTGTACTGTTACAGCGGACGGAGTAAATTTCCTGTATATTCGTACTGTTCGAAAGTTTGAAATCCTTCCTCCGCGCGTGATATTAATTACCTTTTGTAATCTACGTTTCTCTTGAAATAAATTTCCTATTATGTTAAACGAAATGTGCCCGCACGAGCGTACTTTTGCACCTATGTGTCTTCCAATTCCCAACAATAAAATTGATTCAACGCTCGTAATACGTCGTTATTTATTCACCATGTATTAAAATGGAGCAAAATTGTTTCCTGGCACACGAATAATCTTCCACGTTTCTCGGTCGAGCGTAAAGGGAACGCGAATACCGATTCGTAATCGTGTCAATATTAACTATGGCGAGATATGACGACCACAAAGTGCGAGTGTATTAAGGAGGAACTACTTTTTGAGAAGAGTCTGAAGGTTGAGCGATTACTGCACGATTAGCACGCCCGACGCGTTTCCATTTCGCCTTATGTAACTGCTTATAAACGAGATATGAGATCACACTCGATTAATTGCCATCATGCTTTCACGCCGATCGTTTTACGATGATTACTATGCCTCGTGTACGGATTTGTAGGTACACGAGTCTCTGTCTCGATATAGTGTCGGGACTGATCGAACCAACGATTGATGATTACTACTGAAACGTGCGATTCTCGATCGCTCGAAACGATTCGCGATCGAATTAATCATTACACGTCTGAGGTGGATAAAACTCCAACAACAGCTTCTCTATCACTCTACGATCAAAAATAAAATAATTCGCGAACGATTAATTTGATCGTCAATCCTCACGAGTGATAATTTAATAAAATTGATACTTTTGATTTACATTCGCTAAAAGAGATATAGTCACTTGCCTAGACTCTTCAGTTCTCGAGTATGGAGCTGCTCGAAAAGCATAAATGTTTCCCTTTCGACGGTGGATTTAAGACTGAAGCTCGAGGCCAATATGGCCGCCATCGAAAGACCAGTTTCCGTGGCAAATTCGACCGCGTTCGCGTTCCTTTGAACCCATGCCGAAGCAGGAAGAACGTGACGACGGAGAATCGTCTCGCAGCTACGTCTCGAACGAGAACCGCGGCCATTCGGGTTCGCAAATCTTCGACCGTGAATAGGACCCGTTTAGGGCCCCGGCCACCTGGAGCCGTTAAGAAGGGGATTATTCCTAGCCAGGTAAAAGATCCGGGACCGATTGACCCGAGGGGGCTCGTGCCCTGGGATAGAAACAGACACGAATACGCGGAACGACTCGGTTTTATTCCACGACGCGCGCTTCGACGAAAAGTTACCTCTATTTTTCTTTTTTTTTGTCGTTTCTTTTTTTTCATTAAACTCGACAAGGGACGGCCGGGAACATTATGCGCGGCGTAACTTAATCCTCGACCGGTAGGGTGAGGTCAAAACGACCCGGAGTCGTTCCAGGCGTCGTAACTGGTTGTTGCTTGGCGTCTACCTGAGACTTTGCGTACTCTATCTTTAGGCTGTTGAACTTTGGAAGACGTACGGGAATGCTGGAATTCGCGATAAATAATGTAGCGAACGTGCGGCCGCTCGTTCGAGCGATCGATGATGTGGCGGTCACCGGTGACCGGCGCTTGGAGCTGGTAAAACGTCTCGAAATCATTTATAACGAAAGAATTGATTTTTGGAATAGATACGTCTTCTAATTAATGCGTTCCATGTTGCGTGTACCACTAATGGTGCACGTTGGACTATCCACACAAGCTGTGTGTACCACCGGTGGCTCACGCTGAAATTTCTACATTAAACGATACTTTTCTCATTGAGAGATGGAGAGATAAATCTTGTAAGTTTATTGAGCCCCGTAGCGTGCACCGTTTATGGTACACAAGGCGTCAAAGTGACATTTACAAGGGGAAGCCACGTGTCCCCCTAGTTTTTCGGCGAAATTTTTTTTGTGACCTTCCTGGGGCTACCCGTAACGAGCCCACGAAGCGGTTAATCGCGGTTCGTTCCCGTTTTGAAATAAAAAAAATGTCAAAGTCGTTAGCCGAGGTCGGGGGGAACGCGTCAACTCGGATAATCGACGTTCTAGCGTGCGCGTAGATTCGAAAATAAAATTCGTTCGGTGGCAATGAACCCGGACGGTGGCTAGGATCGGGCAAAGTCTCTCGATTGGGTCCAGCTGGTGCACTCACGGCAGTCAACAAATAGATTTCGCGGGTACCACCTCCGGGGGCTTACTTGACGATGCGTTACACGTCGGATGACTCAAGCCTCTTCCACTTGAACCCGCAGATACACCGGTCACTCTTCTATTTTAATAATTGCACCGAGAGACCGCGCACCTCTAATTTTACCTCGTCGCCCGCGCTCGCTCCGTCCCCGTCTTCGTTAATCCACGCTTTGTTACGCACCAGGGGATTCCGCGGGGGCCAAACGCGACCGAGAAATAGAAGACAGACGAGTTTCAGCCCAATTTACACCCCTCGATTCATCCACGGCGATACCAAACGCGGTAATCAATAAATCAGTTGCCAAACAGACTAACACAAATCAGTGGATATCGTTGTAAATTAATTACACTGGATAAAATTAAGTTTAAACCTACCTTTGCAATCTTTTTTCTGAAAAATCGTCGAATTCAAACATCCCCCAACACATCCCAACCAGCATCAACAAATTATTTCTCCCAGCGCCAGCAAGCAAGGAGCACTTTTCTTCGGGAGGCGTGCTAAAAATAAAAATACCAAGAGTCAGTAATATTTTGAAAATTCTCGGATATTTGCCAGAGGAATCGGAGCTCTATACAATGCGCGATTCAAAGAAGTTTCGATTAGACGCGTTTCAAGTACGGTGCAGTTAAGAATCGAGTCTGTATTTGTTCTTTGCGGATGATCGAGATTTGATCTTTACGATTGCAGCTACGGGGGTAACTTCTTTTTTCGATCAGTTTCCTTACGTTCGTAGATCGCGGGGATGGCCGTAGACACCGCGGCGGCGAGATAACGATCGTTCCCGATCGGATCGATCGCGTCCACGCTCGCTTCTCGTGTTCCTCTCTAGCCCGATAGCCGATGGAAAACATCTGGAATTCCCAGTGGGTGGACCAGTTCTCCGTCCCCGAAGATACGACCGCGCTGTCCTTTCACGTTACGCGCGAAACTCGCTCGCTCGCCGTAGATCCGCGTCTCGTGTTCGCAGCAGCGCGACACGAGTTCGACGTGAACAGGATATTGAACAAAAAATGTATTTAAAAACCTCGAAAGCATAGAAAATTCGCTAAACCAAACGGAACAAAAAATTTCAATCGACGCAGGCGAGTAAAACAAAAATATTGTCAGAATCGGTGGCTATTTTGGTATGGATCCAACTGAACAGTGTATCGATGGATCTTAGAAACTGGAACGATCTGTAGCTTTATTTTAAAAATTTATACAGAAACGCCCCAAATTTGGGGTCATTTTTTGATGACTCGAAGAAGAGTTACCAGTTTCTAAAATTATATCGTATGTGAGTAGAAATTAATTGCGGTGCCATCGAAGGCTAGGAAACACGACTAGGAGAGGCTCAAATGGTTTCAAGGCATCCGATAGTGATCGAAAAATGTCCCCGCAAGGTTGTTGCGAAGATTCTTCCAAGTTGATTGTTTCTTTGTATGCTTAGGTGGATCTTTTTCTTCTAGTTTTATTAGTCTTAGATTGCCCTATATTAAACTTATCTTATTTATTCGACGTTATTTCAGTGATAACGTTTTGTTGAATTTGTTTTGATCTCGACTGCACGATTGTAAAAGCATCAGAGCCTTCTTAGCCATTTCGCCTCGCCTTCGATGGCAGTGGAATTAATTTCGATGTTTGACAATAAACAAAACAACGTCGACGACGCAAGGATCAAAAGAAGATAAAATTAATTACAGTATTTACAAAACTGAACAAAAAATTCCTCGATATAGGAAAAAATCAATTTTCTCGGAGTCAATGGCGATTATCGATCACGTAGATGCATTTAAAAAGCCAATCTCCATAGAGATTCAATATAGG